TGATAATTGCATTTATAGGCATGCTGTCCATAAAGACCATGTAGAATGAAAAGGATGGGCATGATGAAGAAGACATAAATATAAGAGATAAATCAAGAGAGTAATATAATAAAAACAGGAAGGAGCAGTAGTAGGAAGAAGGAAGTACTTATGAGGGTCAAATGTTAAAAAAAAAAAAAAAAAGGAATTAATATGGTGACCAAAAGCTGTGATTGTTGTACTTGGCAATAAAGAAGTAATTGATGTCTTTGGCAGAAACTGCTTATTGTCTCTCAATATCCATTCTTCTCTCCTTCCATAGTAACAGAAGGCAGAAGTTTTAGTTGGGAACATGATTACCTTAAATAAAGTCTAATTTACCCAATGTCTTTATATCTGGGCTCTGAGATGTAAGTAAATTCTGGCCAGTGTGAAGCTGGTAGAAGTGTTATGCTTCTGGAAATATTTTTTAACCTCAGCATGTGTGCACCCTTTGTTTCTTCTTTTCTTTTTTTCTTCTTCCATTCTGTTGCTTGGAATAATATTGCCACAATTTGGGACTTGAGGTTGAGCCCATGCAAGGCAGAGCTATAAGATAAAAAGAAGTATCCCTGGACTGGCTACATTAACTTTTACCTGAAACATAAATTCTACCTTATTTAAGGCTCCCTGGGTGGCACAAACAGTTAGGTGCTCGATTACTAACCAAAAAGTTGGCAGTTCAAACCCACCCAGAGGGGCCTCGAAGACAGGCCTGGCCAACATCACAGTCTTGAAAACCCTACGGAGCAGTTCTACTCTACCCACATGGGGACGCCATGAGTCAAAATCAAAATGTATGGCAACTAACAACAATGACAACCTTGTTTAAGCCCTTGCTATTTTCTGCCACGAGCGTCATAACTACACAGTGACATTCCGGAGTTAGCTTCAGTGGAATGGTGGTGGGAAAACCCTTATTGCAGTGAGTTGAGTAGTGAAGCCTTATCGAGTAAATCAAAATCTTATACGCAAAGACCTGAAGTCTATATGTTATACTAAATAGTAATAAACAGCTTATTTCTTTCCTATGAAACTGTACACCTTATTTAGTGCTATTTCAAACTCTATGAAAGTTGTGGTCTATAAAGCAACAAGTTAATTATTACAAAGAACATATATCTCATTTCTACACATAATTTGTGTGGTATCATTCTCAAAAGTGAATGCCTATTTAAAAGGAAAGAAAATAAAATTCTACAACTAATTCACAGGTGAATAATAATTGTGTATCCTAAAAATATATATTGAAATCCTGCCCCCTATACCTGTAAATATGATCTTATTGGAAACAGTGTTTTCTTTGTTATGCTTATTACATCATACCTCAGTAGGGTAGGTTCTATATCCACTGGTATTTTATGAAAATTTGCATAGCGGGCGCTTACAAAAATGCCTCGCAGGGAGAGGGCATGGTTGGCAAACAAACGTAGAAGGTGTGCATTATTTGCGTAAAAATACAAGAATCACTTCTGAGTTATAAAAAGAGCAGATTACACACATGGAGAGGAGGAAGACAGATGACTGAGACAAATACATCTACAAGGATTGCTGCCAGCTACTAGAAGCTGAAATAGACAAGGAAGGACCTCTCCCTGAAGCCAAGCCCTAAACTCAGATTTACTGCCTCCTGAACTGTGAGAAAATAAGTTTCTGTTCTTTAACTGTTCACTTGTGGTATTTGTGTTACAATAGTAGTAGATAACTAAGATACTTACTATCCCATGAAGAAATGTGGTAAAGCAGTCAAAATACTTCCAGTTCCCATAATGACACAACCAATTCCAATTAACTTTGGTCTGTGTAGCTTGGATCCAAAGTAACTTACAAATACAATCACCAACAAATTTCCTAGAAAGAAAACAAAATTATTTTGATATGACTCATTTCAGCAAATCTTGACTTAGTCCAGTTTTGTTTCAATGAAAAAGCAGATTCCAGGATGAATGCAAATAAAGCACAATACATAGTACCTTCCCTCGAAGATCATTTAATTGAGAATTAAATGGTCATTTAACTGAGAAGGTGAAACTCACCTACGTTAAAGCACTCATTGTAAAGTTCTATGGTATTCATAATAAGTAGAATAGGCTTTTAGACACAAAATAAATCACTTGAGTTGCTTGATGAAGTAAAATTCTATTGAAGAATTCAGAGTTAACTAGATTTTATTAGAAAGGAGAACAGTGGAGAAATCCCCCTGATCTGAGAGAAAGGTATTCATTCATGCATTTATTCATTCACTTCTGATGTTTATTAAATGCCTATCATGTACCTGCCATGGTGTTAGGAGCCAGAAATAAAACAAACAAATTATCAAAAATAAGTAAATAAAAGAAAACAAAAACAGTAAACCAAGACACTTGCCCTTAAAGAACTTGTATACCAGTGATAAAAACAGATGAACAGAGTGCTATTAAATCAAGAAAGCGGAGTTTAAATTAATTAGGTGTTTCCGGGAAAATTTCTGGAGGAAAGACCACTTGAGATTTAATGTTGAGTATAAATTGCCTAAATTAAAAAGGGCAAGAAGAGCATTCCAAGTGGAGGGAGCCATGATCAGTACTGATCCACCTGGAGCTACATGTATAATAATGAACAAAGAGCCAAGAATTACTGACTATTTGATGAGAAAAAGCAAAAACAGGAACTATAAACACCTAGTCCAAACAGTTAAATACTTGAAAGATGAAAAATTTTTTAAAAATCCGGTTAGTATCTCTAGAGAGATATGTTACATCCACAAAATAAGAACTAGGCAACTAAAAATAATAAAAGAAAAATGGTTGTTGTAAGTTTAAAAATTTGATAGAACAAATGTACAAATTGGAACCTGGCACGTCAACATGGAAAATGGCATCAGAGAAGATTAATGGAATGTAAAAAAAAAGAGGTAGAAATTTAGGGAAAAAAATTTAATGGAAAAAAATTTCAGAAAATTTAATACTCATTTTATAAATGTTTCAGAAAAAAAATTAAACAAAAGAGAGAAAAAAGAAAACAAAATAGAAAATAAATTTCCAGAGCTTAAGGAAGACTTATGTCTTCAGATTAGAGTTCCCATATTGGCTAAGTGGAAATAATTGTAAAAAGGCAGCCTTAGATATTAAAAAACAAAAACAACTTGTTGCCGTTGAGTTGATTGCAACCCATAGCGACCCTAGAGGACACAGTAGCGCTGCCCAATAAGGTTTCCAAGGAGCAGCTGGTGGATTTGAACTGCTGACCTCTTGAGTAGCAGCCATAGCTCTTAACCACCGTGCCAGCAGAGCTCCCCAGTCCTAGACATAGGCTGTTAAAATTTCTGTAATTCAGGGATAAAACAAAGATACAAATCAGTGAATGAGAATTGGATTGGTAATGATTTCTCATATGCAGTAGATAAATGTTGAAAATATTCTGAGGAAAATAGATCTTGAACTTTTAACTCTATATCCAGACAAATTACCATTTGACTATGATAGTAAAACAAGCAAGGGCTTAGAAAATATGCCATGTGTTCAATTCTGGAAAAAAAGAAGTTACTTGAAGAAGTACTTCAGAAAAACTCAAGATGAGAGTTGAACTCACAAGTTTCAAGAGACATTGGTGAGCAAAGAAACCAGTAAAACTTATAATGATTCCAAATATTTGCTATTAAATAGATGCAAAGTTTAACAAAAATATTAAGAATGAATTCCTTAATAGAAAGTGATATACAGTAAAGTAAATTATAAATCTAAGAACACTCTAACACTAAAATTCTGGATAGCTTTAATAAAACTGGGAAATGGAAGAGCAAAGGAGATGTAGGCTGTAATCTCTTCCAAACAGCAAAAAGTCAGAATTCATAAGGAAAAGATAGATAGGTCATACTTTATACAATTGCTTTTTAAATACTCACTAGTTAAATAAACTTAAATAAACAGCAAAAGTGGAAAATATTTGCAATCTATATAATAGATATAATTTTTGAGTTCCTCTGAATCATTAATAAATGGGAGAAAAAAAGGAAAAATAGGAAGCGGCAGTGAGCTTCCAATTCATAAAATCAGAAAAAATAATGTTCGATCATTATATAAAACCTCACTATCATCGGAGAAAGGGCCCTGGTGGTAGAGTGGTCGAGTGCTTAGCTGCTAACCAAAAGGTCAGCAGTTTGAATCCACCTGCCATTCCACAGGAGAAACATGGGGAAGTTTGCCTTGGAAACTCTATGGGGCAGCTCTACTCTGTCGTACAGGTAGCTATGAGTCGGAATTGACTCGTCGTTTTGGTATTATTGGAGAAATCCAAGTTAAAATGAAGACCACAGAGCAATATCTTCAAAGCTCTAAAAAAAAAATTTAAAAAAAGACTTTTAACCCCAAATTGTATACCCAGTTTAACAGTAGAAACTTAACATAGGTTGCTCGAGAGCTCCTTCTCGCTCCTCAAGTCACCAGAATCATAGCCCTCTTTCTTCCAACTTTTCATAGAACCAGAGCTGCTTGAGCAAAGGAAGGCAAGGCCCATGGTATGAATTTGCATGCAATGAGTTTGTGCTGATCAGGGTTGTTTCAACCTCATCGTTATTGACATTTTGGTGTAGATATGTTTCTTTGCTACGGGGGGGCTTTCCTGTACCTTGCAGGATATTTAAGAGCATCCCTGGCCTGTCCACACTACATGCCGGTAGCACTCTCCTTTCCCCAGTTTTGACAACCAAAAATGTCTCCAGATACTGCCGTATTGTTCCGAGGTGGGGGTGGGAGGGAATTCATCTGTTGAGAAGCGGTGGTGTAGAGCGTGTATGAACAGTTTTTTTACCTCTGCAAATCTGCTTACTAAGTAATAATTAAAATTGAAATAAAAATTACCAATTTCAAAGCTTCCATCAATTAAGCCAGAAATAGAAGAGGATATATCAAATCTTCTTTCTATCTGAGTAATGGAACTTTTCATAATGACTCCACTCAGTGTTTTACAGGTAAAGCTGAATGCCAGGGCCATGAAGAACACCTAGGAAAACGCAGATGGAAAAGAGCGGAAAAAAGGTTGATCAAAGGGCTAGATAAGGTTTATACGTGCACGTAACTTAAATAGCTTTCCTTCTTTACTCAAAACATTATTTTTATCATCAAAGGCATAACCAACTTTATCCTTTACCAGTTTGTACTTCTCAGTCCATTTAACCTAAGCATCACTCTACTGTTAAAGTATCATTTTCTAATTTGGCTACAGCATCAAATTTTTAAAGCAGTACAGTCAGGATTGATAATTTTTAATTAATGTCGTTAACTGATTTTTAAGAAGCTAGACAACGTTCTCAGATAGCCAGGATGAGAAGTTATTCTTTATTCGCAAGTGAATAGTGTAGAGTAACTGTGAGGGAAGTCGCTAGACATTGTAAAAAGTAGGATTTCCAGGAAGCCAGCTGAAAAATAGAACTTTGAGGAGGCAACGGGAAGTTCTACCAGCAACTCAAGCGACTGACATTCAACTTCAGACTCAGTGGTTATAGATATTTTATTTTAAATTTCATTTTAATAGAACTCATAGATTCACCCCTTCTCTTACAGCTCACATCCACATCCATAAGCAAATCTGTCTCCTCTCACTACCTACCTACTGCTTGTAACCACCATCTTGTCTAGTCTGGATTACTGCAATCGCCTCTTAAGAGACCTCCCTGCTTCTGCCCTCACCCTTTGTCTCTTCTCAACACCATAGCCAGAGTAATTCTCCGAAAAGGAAAATCAGCTCATGCCCTCACCCCCTGTATTACCATTCACTCCTAGTAAAATCTTAAGTCTTCCCAGTGGCCTAAAAACCAGTTGCCCTTGAGTTGATTTTGACTCTTGGTGACCCCATGTGTTTCAGAGTAGAACCGTGGTCCATGGGGCTTTTGATGGCTGATTTTTTGGAGGTAGATTGCCTGACCTTCCTTCCGAGGCGCCTCTGGGTGGACTCAAACATCCAAACTCTTGGTTAGCAGTTTGCTTCCTCCAGGGACTCTTAGCAAACATTATATCTTTTCTATAAGAATGTGTGAAATGAGAGAATCACTAAAAATACACTCCAAGTTCTTTCTATACATTCTTGGACAGTTTTTTTTTAATCAGTATGAAATACCACTTTTTTGCCTTTAATAATTTTGATCTTGAATTCTATATTGGCCAATACTAGTATTACTATCTAGCACCCATCTGTCAGTTTGTCATACTGTGGTGGCTTGCATGTTGCTGTGATGCTGGAAGCTATGCCACTGGTATTTCAAATACCAGCAGGATCACTCATGGTGGACAGGTTTCAGTGGAGCTTTCAGACTAAGAAACTAGGAGGAAGGGCCTGGCGATCTACTTCTGAAAATCAGCCAGTGAAAACTTTATGGATCAAAAGGGACCACTGTTCAACTCTCTTGCTTTGGATACATCATCAGGAGCAATCAATTACTGGAGGAGGACATCATGTTTGGTGAAGTAAAGGACCAGTCAGTTCGAGGGAGACTCTTGGAGAGATGGATTGACACAATAGCCACAACAATGAACTCCAACATGCCAGGGATCTCGAGAATGACACAGGAATGGGCGATGCTTCATTTCATTTTACATAAGGTCTTCATGAGTTGGAGTCCACTTGAAATCAGCTACCTATCGTCTATGTGTCTAGTATTGCTGTCTTGGTTTACTTTTATTAACGTTTGCTTGGTACACTGTATTTCAAGTTTTTTTTTTTTTAATTTTTAACCTTTTGTGTCATTTTATTTTAGGTGTACCTCTTGTAATTAGCATATAATTTTTTAATTCAACTTGTAAGCCTTTATTTTTTGCCTTTTTTCATTTAATATATAAATTTAATCAATTCACCTGTATGTGCTGACTGATAGATTTGGAATTATTTCTTTAGTCTAATTTTTAAAAATTTATTATTATTTTTTTATTTCCTTTTTTCCATTCCCAGGTCTTTATTTGTTAGAATAATGATGATGCTGACGGTAGCCAGCGCTTACATAGCATCACATGTGCCAAGCACTTTACCTAAGTAAACTTAGTTACCCCTCTCAATTCAGTGAAGTGGATTCTATTATTATCCATTTGATACATGTAGAAATGGAGGCTCTGAGAGGTTGTAACTAGGCCAAGACCTCAGTCAAGTTTTGAAATCCAGGCAGTTTCGCTCTAGAACCAATCTTCTGAACTGTCTTTTAATTAATACATTTAGAATTCTTTTACTTTCCTCTGCTCCTTCTCTTTCTCAACCTGTCTTATATTAATGTTATTTGAGATTTTAACCCCAGCTTATTTTTTTTTAAAGAAACAATGATTTAGATACAGCAATGCTTTTATCAGTTTCTTCAACTGCTACTGCTTCTTATATTTTCATTTCTCTCCTTGGGTTCATTTGTTGTTCTTAATGGAGAACATCAGTTAATAATTCTTTCATAGGATACCAGTAAGTGAATCACAAATTTTTGAACCCTTTCATATCTGGAAATGCTCCATATGAAAGTGTTTGTTGGGTTCGTAACGCTGGACTCAAAATCCTTTTCTCTGGAAGACATGGCTCTTTCGTCCTCTTGCCTCAAGGGTCGCAAATGAGAATTCAGATGTGCATCTGAGTCTCATCTCTTTGTATGTAACCTGGGGCTACTTTGTTTGTTTGATGTTTGTTTATTTTTCCACTTTAAAATTATTTAGGTCTGTCCCTTAATTTTTGGTATTTTGAACTTTTATCACAAAGTGTTTGTCTGCAGTTTTTAAAAAAATCTCCTTCCAGAAGTTCAGCTGGCCCTTATTTTCTCAAAAAACAATATTTTGAATAAATTTCGTTAGTCATATAGGATCATATTTACATAATTTTACGTAAATCTATAAATGTGTTTAAACCACCCTTTTTTAAGTGCAGTCTCATTTTTCTTTCTTTTTTTTTACTTCCTCTTCCTTCTGTTATGATCTGTCTCTCTCTCAGACCACCCTGCCCCAAGTTAATGAATTCGTTAACAAGAGAGTATCACTCCATGTTTTTCTCGATATTTATATGCACCTATTCATATCTCAATATATATAAATATATTGAGATATAGATATATATACACATATATATCCTCATATAGATTTGTACTCATTTCACTTCATCTTTTTGTGAGAGACTTTTGTGAGACTTCCACGGTTTGAAATCGTAAATTTGTGATTAATTTACATTTCGAATGTTTTCATTATGCCGGTGTACCCATCAAATAGGTTTTGTTTGCCAGTAATCAAGTTTTTGATGCCCCTTAACAACACTCTTTGTGATTTTAATTTTCTCTTGCATCTTTCTGAGAATAATAGTTATACTAATTTTACCGCCTTGTTCTTTTTTTTTCCTTGCCATGGGAGTAAATTCTTCCATTCACTGAGCTTGTTGAGTCTCTTTAAGGTGATGAATTTAAAATACCTGGTAATTCTTGAAGGAGCCCTGGTGGCACAGTGGTTAAGTGCTTGGCTGCTAACCAAAAGTTCAGTGGTTCAAACGCATCAGCCGCACCATGGGAGCAAGATGTGATATTCGGCTTTCATAAAGATTTATAGCCTTGGAAACCCTAAGAGGCAGTTCTACTTTGTCCTATAGGGTCGGTAGGAGTTGGAATCAATGACAAATGCTAACAGGTGATTCTTGACTGTCTTCTCTGTTTCACATATGCCAATTCTTATTTCTGAATATTCAGTCAGTCTGTCTGTGAAGCCTATTTGGGAAGGAGAGGCGGTAATCACTATCAGCAGGGTGAGTCAATAGTTAATCTTCTGCATTTAGGGGCTCTAGTTCTTCCTGAGTGCTGCCAGTCACTTGAAGCACTGTACTGCTTCATCTGCCCAGGTCCCCATACTCACTGTTTCTGCCCTCGGTAGATGCCTCAGTGGCTTGCTGCCTGAACTAAGTGGGTTATGCTGATGAGCAGGAGAGAGATGTTACACAAGAGAAGATGCATGTTTCCTCTTACTGAGTCAGTTGCCCCTGGAACCCCTCTTAATCCCATTCATCATCAGTGGCTTTTGCCTTTGAAGCACACTTGGAGCCACTTCAGTCTTCTGCAATTTTCTTGTTTTGTACTGTGGTTTCTCTCTTCAGCCTGATTCCTGCTACCTTTTACCTTTCAGAGAATTCTCATAGTTTCTGATTTGCAGAATGGATCCCTTCTGGTTTTCTAGTAGAGTTATGGGTTGCTTTTAAGTCCTTTTAAGTCATTTATTAAAATTGGAGGGGGCAGGGTAACTTCTGCCTTCTGATTATTCCGTCTGCCATATTGAACGGAAAGTCTTCAAGTTTTGTCTTTCCTTCTCTGTTGAATCAACTGAAGGAATGCAATGATGGGCAGTTCTTGGAAATGTTGTCAGACTCTCCATCAAAGCTAAGATGTCTGACACAAAATAAGTAAGTACCTAATAAATGTTTTTTGGTTGTTCAGTAAATTGGTATTCCCCATTCAGATTATAAATATGGCACAGAGCCAAGATGCAGTGATATTGTAGTATTTAACTCTACCCTAGTGTATCACAGCTAACCTCTCTTTTCCTAGTTTCCTCAACTCTTAAGTGGAATAATATTAGTAGAATTTTTATGAGGATTAATTGAAATAATATGCTTAAGGTTCTTGACACAGTGCTAGACACATAATAAACGTTGATAAGTACCTATTTTGTTATCATTGTTAGTTAACATCGTTCATGTATCTGCTGTAAGTTCATTCAGATAAAAACAGGACTTCTGATTCAGCCAAACATCTTTTATGCCAGGCTCTGTGGTAGGTGTTGAAGAATCAGTGGTGAGCATATTGACAATTTTTATCTATTGATTGTTGAAGAAACATAGAGGCAAACTCTTATCTAAATTCTGATCAGCAAAATACTGGTTATTGAAATCAGAGGTAGGAAGTTCAGAAAGTTAGAGGACACCTGTTAAAGCAAACAAGCATAGTCAAATATAAATCCTGCCTTATGTAAGAGGAACTTCAAAAAAATTCAGAGAAAAGATTTGGTATTGTTAATGCCATAAACCTTAAAAGCAAGAGTGGCTTAAGACAAAAGAGAGACTCAAAAAGTCAAAATTCTGACAGTATAATCCTCAACTTGTCTTACTAAAAGAAGAGGGTAACAGATATGAAT